AAAATATTCCTATCCCAATTTCACATTGCTTTAAAGATAGACATTGCATGCACATATTGATCAAAAGCTGGGGTAGTTCTTTTAGTACTGATGACTACTAACTTTAGGTGTCATTGCTACAGACAGCCAAGTTCCTCTTAGCATCTATAAACTGGAGACTGCAAGTTTCCTCATAAAAATCTGATCAATACAGTCTCACCTGGATTATTTTTTCTGGCACATTGTGCCTAGAGAACCATATCATGGCACACCAAATTATTTTAAAATAAACAAGCAGAAAGAAACTGTTTCTACCACAATGATATAAGAACTGTTGAGGTTGGGGCAAATTTTTCTTTTTTATTAAAGCCTGGTTGCATGTCATTTATGCTTAAGTGATTTATGAATTAGGTCCATCCATGCTCAGTGTTGAGTTTCAAAAACATGTTTTTTTAGTAATCCTGTTGATTCATCCTATCAGATTATAAATAAGATGTTTTATTAAGTATCGTAGTCTTCTCCCATCATTTGGGGAAAATCTTCCATTAATGTTCGCATAGGGCTTTTCAGTCTGAGATCTAAAGCTCATGGCTATAACTAATGTTAAATTAATATATGCTGGACATCTTTTGGCTTGAACAGTTTTTGTATACCTAACTTTTAGATGGATTGTGGCCTATAGTATCAAATTTACATCTGATATAAAAATTATCCTGCTTTTTATATGTGTGTATTTCACTTAAGGGAGCAGAAGGATGAATGATTAAAAATAGCAGTTCCTTACTTAGATCTGTTTGTATGGGTTCATTTGTAAGCATTTTAATCAACTCAAAAATACGAGATCAGAAGTAGGTAACCCGCAACCCTAAATGTTTGCAACCTGAGTTCTTTCTTGAATCTTTTGGTCTTGTTTGCACCCTAGCTATGCTAGATTGAATCTTGATGAACCCATAAGTCTTCCTGAGGCCTTCTGCAAGAAAGCAGATTATTTTCCAGTTCAGCTGCTTCTCCATCCATGAATAAAATTGCGCACTGGTGGTGGGAACTCTGTCTATGCCAGGGATCCTCAGATTCCTCCCTTCTGGAGTGAAGTCACAATCTTTTATCCATGATTGTCGGTTGCCTTAAAGTATGACATTGGCTTCATTTCAAAACAAGGGCAGAATAATAAAGATAGAGGAACAATGGCTGCAGAACACCATTTTTATGCTCTCTCATTGGCCAGCTAGAGGCAGTACTGATCTACTCATGAGAAGCAATCATGAGGTACTTTGTAGGAGAATGAGGAAGATGCTGGAGGGGTGAGAATGGATGGTGTGTATAAATATAAATAAATATATTTTTCAAGAAGATAAAACAGGTCTGTTAAGAATAATGGAAGCCATTGTGATAAGAGCCAGCATTTACCAACATAATTCATATTTATATTTGTATTCATTATTTGTATTACTAAATGGGAAACCAGGAAGAACTGTTTGATGGAGTAGAATAACTATTGCAGAAAATGTGTAAAGCAGTATAGCATTTTTTAAATGGAAATTGAGAGGAGAATGAGAATAATGGCTTTCACGGAATAATGATATTTTCCTGATGATGGACTTTTCAGATCTCAGACTGGAAATGGGATTCCCATAGTCTACTGAGAAATACCATTTCCATCATTAAAAACATTTCTTTGAAATATAGCCTTAGTAATCTGGGAACTCCACAGTCCTAGTTTCTGGAATGGTGAGGTCATTTGCATGTGGCAGACTTTAAAACTATTTTGGCAAACACAAAAGCATTATGTCTCCCAACACAGAATTAAAACCTTGTCTGTTACAAGCTTTATTTTTAATTAGCATCAAAACACTGAAATGACTGCTTCTATTAAAAACACATGTAAATGCATCCCCAAACCAATTACTAAGCACTGTTCTACTAGACAACTTCGTTTTTGTGAAACAAGCTAATAATAAATGTATACTGTTACACCCTATTTGTGCATGTCAAAGAAAATGAATTTGTGTGCGTGTGTGTGTGAGAGAGAGATAGAGACAGAGAAGGAGAAAAAGAAATTAGAAGTGTTCTGTTTCTGAATTTGGGGAGTTAAAATTAAAATCATACCATCATACATATTACTTGATTTTTTGAATAAAGCTTCAGCCCAATTACATTTTGAGCTCCCTGGGACCAAGTCTCACTGATCTCAGTGGGATTTATTTCTATGTAAACACATACAGAATTGTAGCATAATAAAAGAAAATGAACTTCAGGTCTGTCTTAGCTCTTTGTTTTAATTATCCTGAATTTTCATCTCAAAGTTACCATGCTTTTTAGTGTAATGATCTGACTTAGTGCATTGGAATCTGTATTATTGATACACAGCATACATGAACATTTCCTATTGAGCTTTCCTTTTATGGAGTTTTATAGCAATTATAGTGAGTGGTATTGCAACTGAGTAACATATGGTAATAATGATAATTACTACGTTTCTGCCATTTTCTTCCTAAAAAACTTGGATTTTTTTTTTTACCCCCACCCTCATCCCTCATGAATACACCTGGTTCTTGCATTTATGGCAGTATCTAATTGATCTTAAACAGGGCCAAACCTAATCTGAAGACTGTAAGCTTGCCTGGAAAATCAGAGTGAACGTCACTAGCAAACCACTTCTTTATTGGTGCCAGTCTAGACATCAGGAGTTGATACCTGAGTTTTCTGATCGGTGTGATCTAAGAAATTGGAAACCTTCAGCAGTTAGAATTTTGTCTGCCGGGGAAGTGAAATACAAACCTTATCATTAATTCTCCAAGTGAGATTTTTTTCACACTTTTCAGCCAGTTCATTATTTCACCTCCTACTTAACCTCTGTATATCTCGAAAGATGGCTGTTTATGACATAATATAGTTTTTACCCTTTGTAGGAAGTTGAGCAATTATGTTTGTAGTTTTCAAAGTCTGCATTTCCTTGTGTTCAATAGCAACAGAAAAAGATTCCAGAAAATTAAGGAAATGGGGAAAGATATTTTCAACAAATATAGAGATGGAGCAAAATTAAATACCCACTAGAAACCACACAAGATTTCCAAGCTGTGTTAAAAATTTTAGGCAACACTTTTGAAAGTCCATAGCAATACACTTAAAAGTGAATTTGATGCATTAATGTTGACTTAATCATGGCAAATTTTCCAATTTGTTTAGTAAGTAGAGACTAGCAAAACTGGGGAAATGCAAACTCTTGAGGAGGAAGGATCTCTGTTTCAGGTGAACTTTGAAGAGAGGAAGGGCCAGCTTCATTTTGGAATTTATTCATTTTTTTGCTTTTCTTCTAGAGAAGGGTTTGGTTTATCAGGTAGGATAACCTCAGGATAGCCTGAAAAGACTTGGACAAGCTGAAGGAAATAGCTATTTTACATCCATGTGGAGCTAGCATTATGAATCAATAGCAAACGTGCATGAGCTGTTATTGTTATCTTTGGACTTATTTTGTCCTACCTACACTGTAATTACCTCATCCTGATCAGGAATTCAGCCTGCCATGCATCCTGGGTCTGGGTTAGCTAGAGAAGTCTAAAGAAGAGAAGAAAGCTGGTTCTAGTTTTCTCCTGGGTGATGGTGAATGAAGAAAGGACTGGCTGCCTCCCACTTCTGTACTCACCATGTTGTCATTTCATCTTTAGCCTCTGGGTATAATCTTGTAAAATTAGGATAAATCTCTCTAGATGTAAATGTATATTGTTTCATTTCAAAACCATGATAGGGTAGGTATGTGTCTCTTTATTTGGCTGAATGAATCTACTGAGTTCTGCCCCAAATTCAAATCAGTGAGCACCACTGTTGACATATTTAGGTATTATCATATATGCACATATATTACAGTGTTGACAGCAGGATTAAGTTCCCTATTAAGCAAGGTGAAATCCACAGTGTCAAGTGGTGAATCTTTGATGAGAGAAATAAAGGCAAGAAGTGCCTCACTGATCATCTAGGACAGTCAGGTGTCTTAATATTTAGAATACTATTATGTTTGCTGCCAGCACACTGCTAATATTTCAAGGTTTCTTAATTACAGAAAATAATGTTTTGTTTGAAGACATCCTATTGCTGAAGGATGATCATCTGAGAAAATGAGCCGAGGTGGCGCAGCAGTTAGAGTGCAGTACTGCAGGCCACTTTAGCTGACTGTGTTCAGCAGGTCAGCGGTTCAAATCTCACCGGCTCAAGGTTGACTCAGCCTTCCATCCTTCCGGGGTAGGTAAAATGAGGACCCAGATTGTTGGGGGCAATGTAAATATATATATACGTTGCTTACTGGTGTATACCGCTTAGAGAGTGCTTGCACTTAAAGCAGTATATAAGTCTCATAAATAAAATAAAATAAAATAAACACTAGTTTAATGATTGGGACTAATTAATATAGCAACCTCTTTAAAGAAATACAAATAATGTTTTGTTTGATTATATTTTATCTCCTAATATTGGGTTGCTTGACAATCTATAAGCAGGGATTGAGACAAAGTATGTGAGTTCTAACAAAGTTAAGTTGGTTAAAAGTTCTTAAAATTGCAATCCCCTGAATAAAAAAGTCTGTGTTTGTATGCGTCTTAAAGTCTTTGTTGATTCCTGGCACCACCTGGACTATTTCCTACAGTTTTCTTGGCAAAGTTTTGGAAATAGTTTGCCATTGCAACTTTCCTAGGGCTGAGAGAAAGTGTCTGGCCCAAGCTGGCTTTGTGCCTAAGACTGGACTAGAATTTACAGTCTCCTGGTTTTTACCTTAGTGCCTTAAACCACTACATCAATTGGGCTTTCTTGAATAAAAATTGGACAGCAATAATAAATTATTTAATTTATAATTTCAATTTAATTATAATTGTAATTTATAAATAATTAAACCCAACACCGAACTGATAAAAAAATAAAATCCGATTCCAATTTCTCATTGCCTTTTGTATTATATTTTTACTTCCAGGTTTAACCTCACAGCCCTGGGATTCCACTACTAACCAGGTATAATTTAGACCCCCAGCAAAGCTGAGACGGTGCTGTTGCCCTTTTCTAATTAGCCCAAACCAACTGCCATTTCACTCCAGCTAACAGTAGGGCCGGCTTTGCCCAGAGGTCCCCTTAGCTTGGTGGCCCAGCCCGGGTGGGAGCAAGGCTAGGGCCAAACCCCTCTGGGCTGTAACTCGAGCGGCGAGGGGTTATTTTAAAAAGAGGAACCAGAGAGGCTTGCAGAGCAGAGCAACTAGATTGTTGATGTTTCCGGGTATAGATAAACAAAGGGAGGAGGAGGAGGAGGAGGATGTCACAGACAGGCAGCGATAGCGAGATAAGGGAGCGAGCCGCGCTCGTCAAAGGTCACGTTGCACCGACCCGGGGAGGCTGCCTGGGCGTCCTGGGACCTGCCAGTCACAGACGCGGCCAGAGTGCCGGACCGCGGAGAAGCCGGCGCGACCCCCGAGGCCGCGAGTTCCCTTGCCGGGCTAGCTAGCAGCTGACCGCCCGTAGCGCTCCCTCTGCAACAGGTGTCTGCGGAGGTCGGGTGGGGGTGGGGGCGGACATTCCGGCCCCTTTGCAGCCCCGGGAGAGGAGGAGGCGGCGGGGCGCATTCGTGCCCTGCCCGGTCTCTGCCCGTCGAGCCATGAGCGGCCTGGAGGAAGATCCAGAGTTTGATTTCGATTTCCTCTTCGAGTTTAACCAGAGCAACGAGGCTGCCGGCGGCAAAGGTTGGTGACGAGGCAGCGGCGGTCGTCCTCCAGGGACGGGACGGGACCGGCGCGGGGAGAGGGAGGGCGAAGAGCGTTTATTTGCAGCGCGTTAAATATAGCGGTTCTTCTGGGACGGGAAAGAGCCGTCTCCACAATAGGCTGAGCCTGGGGACTGGAGGGAGGGAGCTCGAAGCGCCGCCCGTTGTTGGGGTTGAGGCGTCTCGCTCGCTTTGCCTTCGACCCCCGCTCCTCCTTCAAAGCCAAAGGAGCCCAGTCCTAGGGAGTAGCTCGGATTTGGGGGTGTTTCTCCTCACTACTTCCTAAAGGACGAACAGAAGCAGAATCTTTCTCACAAAGGGCTTGGGAAGAGTCGCGGCTTTTCCCGTGAGGAGATGGGCTGGAAATGAAGCTGAACCCTCTGCCCTTGTGCTGTCTCAACTTGGTTGTTCACGCCCGGCTTTGAGGGTTCCCCTTTTTTAAAAAATGCCCGACCTACACCGCAAAAAGACAATTCCACCACGTTACAGTTTTTCTTGTCACTTGAAGGGGAAACTGGCAGAACTCTTGCCAACTTTACCCGGTGGAAACAAAACAAAACCAAAGACAGTTGTTCTCTGTTCCATTAAAGAACTTGTAAAACAAACAAACAAGAAAGACAAGAGCCAGGTCTACTACTGAAGTGTCACGGTGGACTTGTGAAAAAAACCAAAAAGCATTACTGTTTCATTGGAGAACTTTTAAGAAAGGACCAGTCCTTCATGTCACTGCTCCATGGTGGAAATTGTTTTCTAAAAGCAGATTTTTTATCCTCCCGCTTGGAAACTTGTGAAAAAAAATGCAGGACAGCAAGCAAGGGGGTAGGGGTGGATGTCAGGTTCCCCATAACTACCCACCTAGGGCTTGTGGATCAGCCTTGAAGTTCTGTAGGATAAAAATGGTTAGAAGCATGTTGTGTTCCTGGACCTGTGTTCTAAGTCAGGTGGCTTGCCAGATTTGCAAAAGGAGAGTAGGGGTTGGAAATGTCATGCAGGGTCCAGAGATAAGCAACTTGTTATCCCTGCATTAGCTTTCAACAAGGGAAGAACTGTCTCACTACAAGGTGACCCTAATATATAGATTATAAATATCCCCTCAGGTTGTCTATTTAATCCAGGATGTGATGAAATTCAACTGGAGTATAGTTAAACAAATAATGTACAGTATGGTACATATCTTTGTTGTTGGTTTTACAGCCACATAAGTGGCTGTAAGGAAATGATCCTATACAAACTATGGTTTGAAAAGATTTCTTTTGTGAAGATTCTTTGATATGTAGACTAGTATCTGGATCCACCAAGCCTCTGGATTCCAGTCCCCATGTTAGCCTTTGTATATTTCTAGTAGCTGTGCAGTGGCATTAGTGTAATTGGATACAGAAAAACAATCTTGAGAACTTTCCTGTTTATATAACGTATGTATATATATAACCCAGTATGTTTCCTTCCTAACCCAGACTGCATCAGGCATTTAGACAGTAGGTTGCATTGCACTCTGAGCATGAAGTTTCCATATTATTATGCAGCTGATGTAAAGAAGGTGTACAGTTGTATGGACCTAATTAGTATAACTTGCAGATTCTCTGATGTGAGTCAGAACCCCTAAGAAGCACAAGTAACTTGGATGGGGTCTTTTAAATGTTGCCTTGGCTACAGAAATTGAGCAGGAACTTTTCAATATTATTACTTCAATGAAACTTTTTTTTTAACCTGGGGGGGGGTTTGCCCAAATTCACTTTCAGGTGTTGTGGAATCACGTAGTTGGAGAATGAATGATAATAACCAAATCAGTATATGATCGGTGCAATCAGAATGGAAAGTAATTGAATAACATACATAGCTGTGACAATGAAATAGATAATGGCTTGTTTTATGGTTACCCTATTGTAAATGAAATAGATTTTGAGTCAGGTTTCCTATGTCTGCTTTACGAGAGCCCTATTCAGATGTTCTAAATCAGTGGTTCTCAACCTGTGGGTCGGGACCCCATTTGGGGTCGAACGACCATTTCACGGGGGTCACCAAACAACACAGTCCGTCATTTTTTCCCCTTTTCCTTAGCTGTACTACTCCCTTTTATTCTATTGGCTTTTGAAAGCCAATAGAATAGACTCTTTTGAATAGAGTCTAATTCTATTGGCTTTCAAAAACCAATAGGAATTGTCCAGGCTGTCTCTGCCCTGCTGAGCCCGCCAAAAGTCCCATTCTGCAAACGGTGCTGCATCAGTTGAGTAATCCTCGACTTACGACTGGTTGAGTAGTCCTCGACTTACGACCGGTTGGGGGTCGCGGCATTAAAAAGGTTGAGAACCACTGTTATAAATCTTCCAAACATTAAAATGTGAATGGACTTGTCTGTTCCAAGTTCATCTGCCAAATATGCTGCTTTCTACCAGCTGGGAAGGCATGAAGTAGAAAAGTGCAGATAATCCCAATTCCATTAGGTCACAGATTTTTCCTTATTATTTTATTCCAACTATTTTAGTGTATTTAAAAACACAGGAAAGCGCACTTGTTATTACTCATAATATACGCAATTTTGCATAAAATATTATATGACTAGGAATGGTACAGGAATTGAATGTACATATATTAATTGCACCCCCATACACACTTTGTAAAATGCTACAGTGCAAAAGTACTGTATAGGCTTGTTTGTATTCCACTTTCTTCACTATACCTTCTTTGATGGATACATCTTTCCTAATTATCTGTCTATTGTACCTACTTTTAATTAGAGAAGACTCCATGCTGTTCATCCAAAAACTGTTCTTCTTGTGTTAACTCCTCTATAATAGATTTAACTTTCCTAGATTTTACACCATGCAGGTAAGCCTTCAGGACTGAACAATTGTCCAATAATGTTTATTTCCTGGGATATATATATATGCTATTGACAATACACTGACAGTATGATTGTGGCCATTAGAAGAAATACAGTTTTAGACCTCTTCAGATATATATCAATTTGCCCAAAATATGCTTTTATCCATGAATGAGATGGTGTTGCAGTTCATCCGTGTGAATCTCCCTGTAATGAACATCAATTTTTTCCATGACTTCTTTGGGGAATGAATAAGGGTATCTGCCTTCTCATAGGAAAGTAAGATTATCCATAAAGGAACAGAGGTATAGTGTGTAAATTGAGGGTGGCAAACTGTGAGTCTGATCTGCTCCTGGAAACAATTTCAGGAGTTGGTAAGCATATGAAAAAGGCTGAAAGTGCTCTTTCCTTCCATGTATGAATTTTGCTTCCATTTTTTTTTCTTATAATGACTGACATTCTGTGTGGCTTTTTGGTTGAGGGTAATTTTTGAATCATTTCCTGTTTTCTGTGCAGGTCAAAATATTCTATGTACACTAAGTATAAGCAATTAGGCCTCAGTATTTTAGAATACAATGGGTTTAGATGGAACGCCAAGCTGGAAAGAGAGAAAGCCCTGTTTTATTTGTGCTGCTCCGCACCTGGATGTTAATGGCCATCTTTTGGTAAATAATAGGCGTATAATAGGTGTTGAATGTACTAATGGTGTTTAACATGAAAAAAAAAGAAGCCCCAAACATCACCGAGCTACTTCTGTAGCAGCTGGAGTAATATTGTATGTCCTTTGTTAACATTGTCATTTAACTAGTAGAGGAACATTGGAGTTCAGTTGGGAATAGAGCCATGATCATTAATGGAGCTTTTCCGGATCTCAGTGTATATGTTAGAGGAGTGACATCGCCTGGAGCATTTGCCTCCGGGGGAGAGGAAGGAAGCAAACATTATATGTAGAGGAAATGAGAGGATGCATTGCCTTTTTGCTTCAATCACTCAAGAATTCTTAAAAAGCAACTGAAGCTAAAGGCATATTGAAACTTGAGGTAGGGCTGATAACAAAAAAATGACAAGCGAATGGTTGGAACAGTGGAAATGGTAGTTTGTAGTTTGTAATGGATTCATATCCTTTTATGAATACCTGGAATTGTTATTGTGTATATTCAAGCATACAGTATCATACACACATGGAAAAGAAAGGATAGAAAATTCTAATAGGTCCAAGAACTAGCCATTGTGAGTCTGTGTTGAGGAGTTGCTCAATAGAATAATGCAGCTTTTCACAAGGATCATGGGAAATTATGTAGGCCTCAGAAAGAATAACAGCAGGGTTCAGAGAAAAACTGAAGCATGTTGAATTTTGCCCCCCCCCTTTGCTCATTCTCCCTCCTTTTATTGGTCGACAATATAGCTCAGCAGTACAGAATTACACAACATGAGTGTGTTTATTTATTACAGCAAAAGCGAGAGGACAATTTAACATGGAAAAGGAGGGTGAAATTAGATTATATGCTGTGTTAAAGCATAATTGATTTCCACTTAGTTTAGTATATTAAAAACACACGATCACTCAAATTCAATCAGCAGGTAAAATTTGTTGTTGTTGTTGTTAATTGCGAAGTCGTGTCCGACCCATCGCGACCCCATGGACAACATTCCTCCAGGTCTTCCTGTCCTCTACCATATTCTGGAGTCCATTTAAATTCACACCTACTGCTTCAGTGACTCCATCCAGCCATCTCATTCTCTGTCGTCCCCTTCTTCTATTGCCCTCAATCTTTCCCAGCATTAGGCTCTTCTCCAGTGAATCCTTCCTTCTCATTAGGTGGCCAAAGTACTTGAGTTTCAACTTCAGGATCTGGCCTTCTAAAGAGCAGTCGGGGTTGATCTCTTCTAGGACTGACCGGTTTGAACGCCTTGCAGTCCAAGGGACTCGCAGGAGTCTTCTCCAGCACCATAGTTCAAAGGCCTCAATTCTTTTGCGCTCAGCCTTTCTTATGGTCCAACTTTCACAGCCATACATTGCAACTGGGAAAACCATGGCCTGGACTATACGCACTTTTGTTGGCAGGGTGATGTCTCTGCTTTTTAGTATGCTGTCTAGATTTGCCATAGCTTTCCTCCCCAGGAGCAAGCGTCTTTTAATTTCTTGGCTGCAGTCCCCATCTGAGGTGATCTTGGAGCCCAGAAAAATAAAATCTGTCACTACCTCCATTTCTTCCCCATCTATTTGCCAGGAATTGAGAGGGCCGGATGCCATGATTTTGGTTTTCTTAATGTTGAGTTTCAAGCCAACTTTTGCACTCTCCTTCTTCACCCGCATCAAGAGGCTCTTTAGTTCCTCTTCACTTTCTGCCATTAGAGTGGTATCATCTGCATATCTTAGGTTGTTGATATTTCTCCCGGCAATCTTAATTCCAACTTTTGATTCATCTAGCCCTGCCTTTCTCATGATGTGCTCTGCATATAAGTTAAATAGGCAGGGCGACAGTATACAGCCTTGCCGGACTCCTTTTCCAATTTTGAACCAATCAGTGGTTCCGTGTTCGGTTCTCACTGTTGCTTCTTGACCCGCATATAGGTTTCTCAAGAGACAAATGAGATGGTCTGGTACTCCCATCTCTTTAAGAACTTGCCACAATTTGTTGTGATCCACACAATCAAAGGCTTTTGCATAGTCAATGAAGCAGAAGTAGATGTTTTTCTGGAACTCCCTAGCTTTCTCCATGATCCAGCGTATGTTGGCAATTTGATCTCTAGTTCCTCTGCCTCTTCGAAATCCTGCCTGTACTTCTGGTAGTTCTCGATCCACATACTGCTGGAGTCTAGCTTGTAGGATTTTAAGCATAACTTTACTAGCATGTGAAATGAGTGCAATGGTGCGATAGTTTGAACATTCTTTGGCATTGCCTTTCTTTGGAATTGGAATGTAAACTGACCTTTTCCAATCCTGTGGCCACTGTTGAGTTTTCCAAATTTGCTGGCAAATTGAGTGTAGCACTTTTACTGCATCGTCTTTTAAGATTTTGAATAGCTCAGCTGGAATACTGTCACCTCCACTAGCTTTGTTGTTGCTCAGATTTTCTAAGGCCCATTTCACTTCACATTCTAGGATGTCTGGTTCGAGGTCATGACCATCTCATTGTGGTTATCTGGGATGTTAAGCTCATTCTTGTATAGTTCTTCTGTGTAGTTTTGCCATCTCTTCTTAATCTCTTCTGCCTCTGTTAGGTCTCTGCCATTTTGGTCCTTTATCATGCCCATCTTTGCATGAAACGTTCCCTTCATATCTCTAATTTTCTTGAAGAGATCTCTGGTCCTCCCTATTCTGTTGTTTTCTTCTATTTCTTTGCACTGTTCATTTAAGAAGGCATTCTTATCTCTTCTAGCTACTCTCTGGAATTCTGCATTCAATTGGGTGTATCTTTCTCTTTCTCCTTTGCCTTTCGCTTCCCTTCTTTCCTCAGCTATTTGCAAAGCTTCCTCAGACAGCCATTTTGCTTTCTTGCATTTCTTTTTCTTTGGGATGGTTTTAGTTGCTACCTCTTGTACAATGTTGCGAACTTCCATCCATAGTTCTTCAGGCACTCTGTCTATCAGATCCAGTTCCTTAAATCTATTTGTCACCTCTACTGTATATTCATCAGGAATATGATTTAGTTCATACCTGAGTGGCCTAGTGCTTTTCCCTACTTTTTTCAATTTAAGCCTAAATTTTGCAACGAGAAGCTCATGATCTGAGCCACAGTCAGCTCCTGGTCTTGTTTTTACTGACTGTATAGAGCTTCTCCATCTTTGGCTGCAGAGCACATAGTCAATCTGATTTCTATGTTGACCGTCTGGTGATGTCCATGTGTAGAGCCGTCTCTTGGGTTGTTGGAAAAGAGTGTTTGTTATGACCATCGTATTCTCTTGACAAAATTCTATTAGCCTGTGCCCTGCTTCATTTTGTACTCCAAGGCCAAACTTGCCTGTTATTCCGGTTATCTTTTGGCTTCCTACCTTAGCATTCCAATCCCCCATGATGATAAGGACATCATTTTTTGGTGTTAATTCTATAAGGTGCTGTAGGGCTTCATAGAACCGGTCAATTTCATCCTCTTCAGCACCAGTGGTTGGGGCATAGATTTGGACTACTGTGATATTGAATGGTTTGCCTTGGATTCGAATTGAGATCATTCTGTCATTTTGGGGATTGTATCCCAGTATTGCTTTTCCTATTCTTTTATTGACTATGAAGGCTACTCCATTTCTTCTGAGGGATTCTTGCCCACAGTAGTATACCTGATGGTCATCTGAGTTAAATTCACCCATTCCTGTCCATTTTAGTTCGCTGATTCCTAAGATGTCGATGTTCAGTCTTGTCATCTCTTTTTTGACTACGTCTAGCTTGCCTTGATTCATGGATCTTACATTCCAGGTTCCTATGGAGAAAAAATCTTTACAGCATCGGACTTTCCTTTCACCACCAGATATATCCACAGCTGAGCGTCCTTTCGGCTTTGGCCCAGTCGCTTCATTCTTTCTGGCGCTACTAGTACTAGCCCTCTGCTCTTCCCCAGTAGCATATTGGACACCTTCCGACCTGAGGGGCTCATCTTCCAGCGTCATATCTTTTTTCCTTTTAGTACTGTCCATGGGGTTTTCATGGCAAAGATACTGGAGTGGTTTGCCATTTCCTTCTCCAGTGGATCACATTTTGTCAGAACTCTCTGCTATAACCTGTCCGTCTTGGGTGGCCCTGCACGGCATAGCTTATAGCTTCATTGAGTTACGCAAGCCCCTTCGCCACGACAAGGCAGTAATCCATAAAGGGGAGGTAAAATTTAGCAAATGTAAAAAAAGGGGTGCTTCAACATTCAGATTAGTACTTAAAAGCACTTTCCTCTCCTGTGTATTTTGTAAATTGGAGTCAATTTCTTGCAGTAAATAACTCATTTAAAGTTTTTTTTAAAAAAGATAGATGCAATTTTTGGCAGGTAAGAAAAGATAGCTTGATTTAGCAGAGCATTGATTTGACTTAGAATAGCAAAGGAATAAAGGGGAGATAGCATTGTTTTATTCTATGGAATCTGTTAAGCTTACCTGTGGAAGTCTTTTCTTCTCACCAGTTGTAGACTGTATGCAGGATTGGCCACTTTTCTGGTGTTTGGAAGCCTGCTGCATTTTGAACCAACTATAATTTCCAGGTGGTAGTTATAATTCCATGATACAGCACAGTGATAGCTTTATAAAGAGCACATTGCAGTAATCCAATCAAAGGGAGCAGGCATGAATAACTATCTGAAGGGCCTCTTGATCAAGGAAAGGGTAACTGGTGCACAAGATGAACCTGTGTGCAAAGACCCTCCAGGTCACAACTGCCACACACTCACAGCTACTGTTCTTTGAGCAGTAGCTGTGAGTCCAGAAAGACCCCCAGTTGCGTACCAGTCTTGAATCATGAAGCTGTCATCTTTTCCAGAGCCTTCCCAAAAAAGGGAAGATTGGAAATTGCCATTTCTAGAGAGGATAGCTCTGTTTACTTGTACCAAATTTATAATCAAAATATATTAGCATAAACTTATTGGTATTTAAGCTGCTGCAGTTTTCTGTTCTTCATACTTTTAAACCATAACTTCTAAAAAGCTTGTTTGTAATGCTTCCTGTATGTCACATAATTTATGATACTGTAGAAGAGGTTGAAGATGCCTTTGAATGTTTTGAGGGTACCAAGAAAGGTTACTTGAATAATTTCCATTCTTTCTGCTCCGTTAAAAAGGAGTCTCCAAAGAGCAGCTTGTATCCTTGCTGTGGGGTGCAAGGTGAATCACTGCATTCTTATTTATACCAAAAATGCTAATGAAAGTGCACAATTCACACTGACTTTCATGCAGTAACATCCAAAGGTGTGTTCACTCTACAGATTACTGCTTGTTCTGCTATTCTGTAATAACAGCCTTCAAGACCCTCCATGTTTTGTTTATGTGGTTGAAGGAGAACAATTTATTATTTTATATTGGAGAGTAATCATACCGTAGTCACTGCATTCAGTTTATTTCTGTTTACGTTGGTAATAAATTAAGTGTACTTTATGTCCTGGCCACTGGCCCTGGTCTGATTCTGGCACACCATTTAAAGGTTAAATACTTCACTCTGCTCAAAAATAACTTGATAGTCTTGTTATAAAGAATGTCATTGCAAATTCTGACTTGAAAAAAGGTAAATGGAGTCTAAGAACTCACGAGCTAGTTAATTTCCAAGCTTATTTCGTACTGTCTTTGTCTAGAAGTTCAAGGTGGCATACATAGCCTTCCTTTCTCCAATTTGTGTGGGTTTTTTTTGTTTTTTGCAACAACAATTCTGTGAGGTAGGTGGAGCTGAAAGAAGGTGACTGGTCCCAAATCTTTAATGAGCTTTCATGGTTGAGAATGGACTTAAACCCAGAACTTAGAACCCTTTGGTCCTAGTTCATTCTTGAATGGCTAAATGATACTAGCTCTTTGCCATTTTTGAAATGGTTAAGGTACGCTTTGATTCCAGAGAAAACTCTACTATATTCACTGGATCATGACAGGGATTCAGCTTACTAATAAATTAATTTGTTTGTTTGTATGTGAGCAACATCTCACGTCATTCTTTTTGTTTTTTGTTTATCTTTTTCAGAACATTATAACTATGCATCTTCAAATATAAATTCAACTTTGCCTCTAAATGTGGCACATTCTTCACTGCCAACTCCATGTCACGGCCTTCAAACATCTATTCCAGTCATTCCAAATGTCTCATCAGCTAATCATCTTTCAGGTTATGGAGGGCATGCTGACAATAGCACTGCTGGATATTATTTGCCTCCAAGTGTCAGACCTAATGGAGTGCCAGCATTAGAAAGTCCTAGAATTGAAATAACCACCTACTTAGGACTGCATCAAAACAACAATCAGTTCTTCCATGAAGCTGAGATTGATGAATCCACCCAAAACACAAAGAGATCGCCTTCTACCGCTACTTTGAATTTACCAAACATTGAGGCTTACAGGGACCCATCTTGTCTGAGCCCTGCCAGTAGCCTGTCTTCCAGAAGTTGTAATTCAGAAGCATCTTCCTATGAATCAAATTATTCCTATCCTTATACTTCACCCCAGACATCTCCTTGGCAATCGCCCTGCGTATCGCCCAAGACCAATGAAACTGAGGAGAGGTATCAGCGAAGCTTAGTTCCCTGCACACTCCTTAATTCACCCCGACATTCTCCTTCCACGTCTCCCAGAACAAGTATTACTGAAGAAAACTGGCTGAGCTCTCGCAACTCTAGACCATCATCTCCCTGTAATAAGAGAAAATACAGTTTGAATGGCAGACAGACATCCTACTCTCCACATCACTCCCCAACTCCGTCTCCCCAGAATTCTCCAAGGGTTAGTGTGACTGATGAGACATGGTTGGGAAACACTAACCAATATACCAGTTCAGCCATTGTCGCAGCAATCAATGCCCTCACTACTGACAGCACAATAGATATGAATGATGGAATTCCTATCAAGTCTAGGAAAACTGCAATAGATCACACTCCCTCCATAGCACTCAAGACTGAGCCTAGTGGAGATGATCAGGGGACCATATCACCGATTACCGATTTATCACCAGAAGAATTTCCTGGGTTCCAGCACATCAGGAAAGGAAGCTTCTGTGATCAGTATCTTTCAGTTCCGCAGCATCCCTATCAGTGGGCCAAATCAAAGCCTTTGTCCCCAACATCATACATGAGGTACAGTTTCTTTAGATGTAATCTTTAAAAGAAAAGTCTCTATTTTCTCCTTTGCTTTACCTCCTCCCAATAACGTCTTTGTTTTTAGTACTTCAAATAGTTAGTCATAGACATCTAGAATCATTTTTATAGCGCTATGTTTTTGCTTTTGTTACATGGTATTATTCATTTTCACTTTGGTTAGTAAATTCAAACCAATTTCCATAGATTGTTAGGTATCCATTTGTTTCCGATCTAGGTAGTATTTTAAAAAATCCCAAATCAAAACAGTTACTTTTACAAACTTGAAAATAGATTGTGAATGCTTGATTACAGGGGAATATATCATGCAATGTAAAATAGAATTATAGTAATATTGCAAGTTTACTTTTAGCTTTTCTTGTGATATTTGTTTTATTTCCTATTACATCAGTTTAAAAGCAAAAAAAATGGTAATATTTCATTTCTGTTTTAATTGTTACTGATTTGTATAGGTTTTGTTGGTATTTGCCTTTTTTATAGTATGTTGGGCTGGGCAGTTTATAGAAGTGGGTGATTCTGTTTCAAATCGGCTCCTAGCTATAAATTCTTAAGCCCATGTGTATACATGTAAGGATATCTATCTATCTATCTATCTATCTATCTATCTATCTATCTATCTATCTATCCATCCATCCATCCATCCATCCATCCAATATATTTAACTTCTCTAGAGGCGATTCTAAGCAGCTTACAATCAATAGACACCAATATAAAACATTAAAACAATAAATAAACTTGATTTAAAATTGACAGAGATGGGGAGGAAGGGCACAAGATTCACACAGGGAGCAGATGGGGTCTACTTAATCTATTTACTGTCTCCAGCTTGACATGCCAGGCCAATTGACAGAGCCAGCCTTCAGGCCCTTTCAGAAGACTCGGATGAGGGTACAGATCTCACCTTGGGGAGGGGAAGAGGCATGATGTTCCAGAGAGTGGGAGCCATGGCAGAAACAGCTATTCTCCTGGATCCTGCCAGTCAGAGTTTCTTGACCAATGGGGCCTGTAGCATGCTCCTTTTACTGGCACAGATGGGGAGGGCTAATCCCATTGAGGTGAAACAGTGCCTCAGATAACCTGGACCCATGCCATGAAGGGCTTTAAAGGTGTAAAAACTAATACCTTGAATTAGACCCTAAAGCAAACTGGCAACCAGTGTGGATCATGAAACAGTGGTATAATATGGGCCATCCTACTGACTCCAAGAACTATCTGCACAGTTGCATTCTGCGTCAGCTGTAACTTCTGAATATTCTTCAAGGATAGCTCCATGTAGAGTGTATTGTAATAGTCCAAGCATGAGATGACCCTGGCTTGATTGACTGAGCGCAGGGACTCCCAATCCAGGAAAGGGCACAACTGTTGCATAACCCAACATTGTGCAAAGTCTCTCCTGTTCTTAAGCAAGTGTCACGAGCCCAGGAGAACCCCCCAAGTTGCACACTGGTATGTCTGGGGCAGTGCAACCCCATCCAAAACTAAAGATGTTAATGTACTAGATGCCAAAGCTCCACATACGCAAAGCCACTTGGTCTTACCATGGTTCAGCAGAAGTCTGTTGTCCCCTATCCAGATCCCCACAGCCTCCAGACATCGCAAGAGGGCAGTGACAGCATCACTTGGGTCACTGGTGATTCTTTCAAAATAATTTTATTTGACTTCTTTGTTTTCTAGTATGGGTTTTATACATGGTCATTAAAATAAAATAGTTCTAGCCTACGGTTCTACATTGAGTTGTCTACATGGTGTGGTCAAAAGAATCAAGAGAGTTATGATGATACAGTTGAAGCACCACCTGCTTTTTTATGTGCATTGCCACCACTTTGACTTTTTTGACCATGCCCATTGGTCACCCCTACACTCAGAAAAGTCATAGCATAAAAGTACAGTAGGAAGAAATGAAAAGGGAAGAGATGGAAGAGGCACCAAGTTCTAAATCTGAAATGAAAATGGTTCAAAGGAGGGAGGAACCTGATAAAAATTAGCCTTCCTGCAGAGCTCACGGAATCCTGCTTTCCATCTCCTGTAGTGTAATGGAAGCAATAATATAATAATAGAAAGATAACATGCAAAATAAAAGAAAAATTAAAACACAGACATTAAGATTATGTTGCTCTGTATATTGTTAGACTGTCTTGGTTTTTGGTGTTGTTTGTGTATATAATGGCCAACTCCCCAAAGACATATTAAACTAACAACATGCATATACACACAGCTGTAACTTCTATTCCATAAAGCTCATGTCTAATGTCTACTATTCAGACATTGTTTTGCAATTTTGCAAGCGGGGAAGGCTAGCAGCATTTTGGACTTTTTTTTTTTTTGCATGTGATAATATGGGCCAATGGTCCTTTGTTATATGCAAAGTCATCATGCTGTTCTGTATTTTTGAAGACTAGTCAAGAGTCCAAATAGCAGTCACATGTTGTAAATTCTCTTGTACACTTGAGAGAAAAGGAGTGGTAGAAATGTCTGAAAGTAAACAAAAGTAATTGTGACTTTGAGGTAGCCCAATTTTTCTGATACCCTCAGTGATGAGACAATTGCTTTCAATGCCCTGAAAAGTTTTGGTCCAAAAGCAGGACTGTTGAAGTACTCTGTCTTTTCTCCAGTGGCAGTCAAAGCATTGGCACTAGAGATTCGATTTTCTATAGAAAAACTGTACAAGAGAAAATATTAAGAAAACTTTCTTTTTTCTGTGATTCTGAGCTTTAGTATGAAACTGTAACTTTTCAGCAATTGTCTTGCATAAATATAAATGTGTTAGTGTTTGCTCAGTTACCTTTATGCAGGACTGCCATATTCATCCTCCTCTCTATTTGCTCTAATCTTACGTCCCTTCTTACATCCATCAGTCTAAGTTCCTATAATCAAATTATAATTTGATTAAATATGTATGTATATATGTACGTATGTCTGTATTGCTGTTGGGTGTCCAGAGGGTGAAGATCAAAAAAGTAAAAATGGTTGGTACAATTAAAGCCTTTGCAAACATATGTCTTTAATGTGTGTTATGAATATATAAAAAAGCTGGGCCTTTGATCGTGTTGATATATCCATGATCTTAATGTTTCTGCATGCTCACTCCAGATGCCCTTATGCAGAAGAGCTAAGACATAATGATACCATGTAAAGTGGGTGTTGCTAAAGTTTCTATGGGACGTAGAGTTTTATATTTTTTTCAGGTGCATAAATCCTGCTTGAAGATTTATATATTTCTGTTCTTTGCTTTTTTCTGAAAAAAAAAGCAGGAGATCACACATTTGTGGTTTGGTGAATTGTTACTAATATACAGAGGTGTGATTACTAGGTTTAAAGCATCAGAAAGGGAATGTATCCAACTCATGTTTAATGTATCAGACAATGCAATCTATTTTTGTCTCATCTTTTTGAAGTATATGTGAGTCTGTCCAAAACAGCCATGTGATCTATTTAAGGTAGGTGTAAACATTCAGAACATAACTTTTCAAATAAGTGAACAATACTGGATTTATAAATAACATTTTCTTCCTGCAAATCTCATAGTACCAACCTGTTCCCATGCCTTATTCTACTAGGACTTCCTAGGTACAGAGTATATGGACAATAATATGTAATATGTGTATCAAGATGATAGTATTTGTAGTGTCATATGTGAGGAAATGTGTATCTCTAACATTTGCTCAGGTTATAAAACTTAAAATGGGGTTTAAAGAAAGAGTTTTAAGTCACTTCTCACAAAGTTACTTTAGTTGAAAAAAAATAAGAAAGTATTTTAAACATCAGGAAAAATCCTATGATGATTGAACATATAAATCTTTTATCATTCACTAATTTACAGAAAAATGTTTTTCTTTTCTTGTTTTAATACCACATGGAATTAAAATGAAAACAGCAATACCCCAGAGTGATAATGACAATAAATGCATTCCAGTATTATGCATATAATAATTTTCCACTGTTTTGCTTTTGTGTAAAAAATGTGTTTCCTGATTTTTTTTCCAATATGTTTCCATGTGTTCTCATTAACTTGTGCTCCAGAACATCTGGAAGCTACTGTAAAAGTCTGATTTTACCAATCTGATGCCCTGGACCTAGTTTCCTGTAACCCATGAATGCTTTCATTTTGTGTATGTAAAAAAGCTGAATTGAGATGTCAGCACAGTCATAAGATGCTTGCTTGAAATTTAGTGTTTTAAATATCCTAGCAAAAAGTACCCATTTGTCATAGTATATTTGGAATCACTCCCTGCTCCTGGATTATTTTAAGTGTCTGTTCTGTTTCAAAGTCTAGGTTGAGTTCCAACAAATAATACAGATTCCGATATCCACCCTGTCATGAGGTTTATTTGCCAAAACTATTATATTACCTCCTTTGTCTTTTCCAGAAAAAAATACCTAAAAAGGGTTATTGGAAAATTCCTAAATTAATAGGTTTTTTTTTTAAAACATAGATCCAGTGATGATATGGACAATTAAGTTAGCCAATACTTTTTGACAACAGCTATCTATATTCAAAGACAGTTCACTCTTAAATCTAAGATTATAGAATATTACAAATATATCATTCCAAACAACTTATTAAAATTAGTGCTACTTGCACTTTACAGTATTCATGGTTAAGTGACATACAGGCATTTATCCCTTATATAACAGGAGGAGAACAGTTTTATGGGAGCCAAAAATCAGCAACTCAGCCAACTAACTCATTTTATTTATTATGAAACCTTATTCCTCTGTATAACATATGTTAGTCAGAAAAGGCGCTACCAGATTTCTGCTGATTTTAATTTTAATTCCTTAAGTAATCTGCTGAGCGTATCTATAATCAGTTTTACAAGAGAAAGTTGTTTTTTAAAAAAATTAGACAAACTACAGGGTTGCAATGTTTCAAGCAAGTTCAAATGTTAGTTAACAACAGAATGTTTTCTGAGATGCTAACTGAGCACAACTATGGTTTTTTAAAAAAGCAGAAGTTTCATGGTCGCTCTATAGTCCCT